AACTAGCACAAAGAATCAACAATTGGGATCTCATCTTATTAAAAAGCTTCTGCACAGCAAGAGAAACCACTAACAGAGTGAAGAGACAGCCCACAATGTGGGAGAAAATTTTTACCAGCAGTTCCTCAGATAAAGGTCTACTATCTAGAATATATAAAGAACTTAAAAAAAATCAGACCTCCCAAATTTAAAGATCCAATCCAAAAATGGGCATCTGAAATGAACAGACATTTCTCAGACGAAGAAGTAGAAACAGCAAATAGACACATGAAAAAATGTTCAATATCACTGGTCATTTCAGAGATGCAAATGAAAACAATGCTGAGATTCCACTTCACTCCAGAAAGAATGGCTACTATCATGAAATCAACAAATAAACGCTGGCGGGGCTGTGGGGAAAAAGGAACCCTTCTATGCTGTTGGTAGGAGTGTAGACTGCTGAAACCACTATGGAAATCAATATGGAGAGACCTCAAAAAACTAAGATTACAGGTCCCATTTGACCCAGCTATTCCCCTGCTGGGTATCTTCCCCAAAGAATTAAAAGACTCATACCACAGTGATATATGTGCACCAATGTTCATAGCGGCACAGATCCTAACAGCTAAAACTTGGAAATAGCCCAATTGCCAATCAACTTGAGACTGGATAAAGAAGATGTGTTTTTAAAATAAAAGGGCGTACTACTCAGCCATAAAGAGAGGGAAACTAGAGACATTTATAGCTAAATGGATGCACACTGAGGCCATACTCTTAAGTGAAATAAATAGGACACACATGTGTAAAGGCCAAATAGTTTCTCTGGTGTGAGAAACTGAAAATGTCAATAAGGATCAAAACGTAGATAATGTGAAACAGGAAGAAAAGGTCTAAATGGGAGGAGGAAGTGGGAAGGGTAGGGGAAAAGAATAAATATGAGAAAATGAAAAAATGGAAACAAACTCCTTGTAAATAGGGAGGGGTGGAGAGGTTGAAGGGAGGGCAGGGGAATGGGGAAGAAAATAAGAACCAAGATATGTCATATAAAGGTACAGGGCTGGGGATTCAGCTCAGTGGTTCCGCCACCTGCCTCAAAAGCACAAGGTCCTGAGTTCGATCCCCGGTACCAGGAAAAAAAAAAAAAAGAAAGAAAACAGTACTATGAGACAGGAAAGAGAAAAGAAAAGCCACAGAGATTAAATTACATTGTTCACAGATTAAATGATTACATCCATGAAAACTTAAAGCTCTCTAAAACTAATCAGTGAATTTGGAAAAGTTGTAAGACATAAGGCCAATATAAGAAAAAATAATTTATTTCTATATACCAGTAACAAATACTTGGAAAATAAATTTTCCATAACATCAAACAAATATCTAGGAATATTCTCAACAAAAGACCATAGTACTTAAAGGAGAATTCTGCAATATTCTTCTGTCTTTTCTTTAAATCTAAAATTATTCCAAAATAAAGAAGACACTTTAGGCTAACTGATTATGACAATGGAATCAAGGGACATAGGGCTGGAGGTGTAGCTCAGTGGTAGTGGACTTGCTTAGAATACATAAGGCCATGGGTTCAACCCCCAGCACCACACACACACACACACACACACACACACACACACAAAGAAATGAAAAAGAAATATAAAAGAATATATTTTAATGGAAATATGCTGATATGCTAAAGTACTTATGGAGGCAATGTCATGTCTTGTAATTTATTTTCAAATAGCTCAGAAATTTTTACATATACTTTTTATACATAATATAAACACACACACATACATGTATCATATACAAATATCACACATGGGCTGGAGATTTAGCTCAGTGGCTCCACCACCTGCCTTGCAAGCGCCAGGTCCCAAGTTCGGTCCCTGGTACCAAAAAAAAAAACAGGGTATCTTTCCTCTACAAATATTACACATACACACATATATATCTATATATACATACCACAAAATCCATAGATATTTAGGTCCTTTATATAAAATGGTGTAAAATTTGCATATAATCCAGTAACATCCTCCTGTATACTTTAAGTCATCTATAGATTACATATAGTACCTAACACAATGAAAGTGCTATATAAATAGTTGTTATATACTGTATTTAGGGAATAATGATGGGGGAAAAAGGCCTGTACATCTTCAGTACAGAAACATTTTTTCAATTATTTTGTTTGTTTTTTGAGACAGGTCTCACTATGTAGTTCAGACAAGCCTTAAAGTTACTATGTAGCCTAGGCTGGCCTCAAATTTGCAGTGATCCTGCCTCAACCGAGTGCTGGAATTACAGACATGGGCCACCACACCCAGCCATTGTTTCAAATATTTTTAACCTGTAGTTGGTTGAATCCAGAGATGTGGAACTCACAAGGATGGAGGGCCAACTGTATATACATATACACACTAATATACATAAAATGTATACAGCTTAATGACAGATTACACACATGCACATGTACAGCACCATATGAATAAATCCATTTGTATGTAAGACTTAAAGCAAATCTGACAATTATAGGATATTTGTGTTCATTACATTATTCTTTCAACTTGTGAAGATCTGAAAATTATCAAAATTAAAAGTAGGAAAATATAAATATAATTATATTCCTTCCATAAAAACTCACTTTTTCAGAAATACGACAAAAGCCATAGAGTTTACCTTCTTTCTTCTAGAGGAAGTACACAATAATGGAACATTTCATTTTATACTAAAAAACTATCTCCCCTAAATTCTTTGGCCTATCATTTCAGGGACTGGATACATTAAGACCTTCATTGTGAACAACTTTTTAAATGAATGCCATTGCTGATAACCAGAATTGAAGTTTAAATGGCTACTTAGAAAAATGACATGGTCTAAGTAGGTCAGAAGAAGGTAATTTTTCTTAGTATTATTTCTTTTCCTTTCCAAAATGGAAACTGTTCTTCCTTTGGCAATTCAGTTACCTAATATATCCTGTCACTATAAAAATGGGGGAGAAAAATTAATGTGATATAGTGAAACAGAAAAAGAATCAAACAAACACACACAAAAAAATCACATCACTAGCCAGACTGTCTTACTGGCAAGTTGCTTACAGGTTGAAGTGTAGAGTTAGAGTAAGGGTCAGGATAACTCTGATTCACAAATCAGAATCAAAGAGAGCAAATAAAATAGCATGTAACAAACTACTCTCATTTATAAATATAGGCTTCTAGCAAAAGCCTGACACATAATAATTCATAAATAAATCCAACCCACCAATATTTTCTACTTTGTCTTAAGCATGAATGCAAAAATCTAAAATAAAAGTGCCAGTGAATAGAGACTGCAAATAATTCATAGATAAGTTTTTACACATATAAGGAATCTAAATATATTAAAGTTAATGGAATGGATTAGTTTGTTAATGGAAACAAGGTGAGTACATAAAAATCTAGTGCATAGGGCCAGGGACTTAGCTCAGTGGTTCCACCGCCTGCCTCGCAAGTGCAAGGTCTTGAGTTTGATCCCCAGCACCAAAAAAAAAATTTAGTCCATTCTATGTATTAACAATAAATAAGCCAGGGATTTAGCTCTGTGGGGCCATGCCTGCCTTGCAAGCCCAAGGTCCTGAGTTCGATCCCTGGCACCAGAAAAAAAAATTAACAATAAACAAAATAAAGTATTTAATAACATACCGTTTGTAATACTATCAAAAATATGAAGTACTTGAAATATAGCTAACATAAGTCAGGAAAGATGTTTATAGGAAAACCATAAGGAAGATTTTAAAGAAGATCTAAATAAATGAGAGAGAAAACTACGATTTATTGCAACCCCAAGTAAAAGCCCAACAGGCCTTCTTTTATGAAAATTGACAAACTAATTATCAATTAATATAGAAATTAGACCAAGAATAGTGAATACATAAGTTAAAAGAGGAAAACAAGATATGGAGCCCTGCAGTACCAGGTATTAACAATTTCCATGAAGCTACAGAATTAATACAATGGTATTAGAGATGAAGACGGAGACAAGTAGCCCAATTCTACATAAGAAAACCTACGTAAAGCAAGAAACAAGAGCAAGATAGTTAAAAAAGTGTACTTACTGTACACTTAATAAAGCCAAGAAAATCAATGAAAAAAACCATTAGAACAATAAGAGTATGTACTCTGTTGGTCGCTATAGGGGATGACAGGAAAGTACTCATCTCAATTAGAAGGGCTAAGAAAGACTTTCTAGAAGAATGACAGCTAAACTGAAATCAGAAAGTAAGAGTGAGCCAAGTGCAAAAGAGAAGGGTGATTGTTCTATGCAGGAGGGAAGCTGAACAAAGGCTCAAAGGTAAGAGAAACTGGGCCTAACAGGAGTAATGTAAACAGCTAGATGACAGGGTCAGGAGTTTAGCTCAGTGGTTCGGCTGCCTGCCTTGCAAGCGCAAGGTCCCAAGTTCGATCCCCAGTACCAAAAAAACCCCAGCTAGATGACAGAACTCAAGAGAGCAATCAGCCACTAGAAGCAGTAAACAGCTGCCACACAAGAGGCTGCACCCATGATAAGGTGTCCAGACTTATCTCAAAGACAGTGGGAGTCCTGAAAACTTCAAACAGGCAAGCGACATGGTTAAATAAGTTCTTTAGAAAGACCATCTTTTAACAGGACATTCAGTCCACGTGGAGAAGAGAAATGGAGGAAGGAAAACTAGAGTAGGCAGGTGGAGTAAGAGGATGACTGATGGTGGCACGATGGTGGCCTGCACAGGTAGGCAGCATAGCGAGGAAAGACAAGCACACAGGGAACACAGATCGTGGACAGCGCCTGTCACCAGGTGTTTCAAGCAGACAGATGTCAAGGTGGAGAAGAACCATGGAACTCCCCAAGATTTTTCCTATATTGAGGCTGACACATTGCTTTAGGCAAGCAGGTCCGGGCTGAGACAATGACAATGACAATATCAGTTTTGGGCACACTGAATGAGAACCTCCAGATGAAGATCTCCACTGCCCTTGTAATCAGGAAACAAAATCAATAAAAAAACTCACCTATTTTTGTCAAATGATGTCCTAGCCAAGCGTGACTGCAAGATAGCTGTTATCTAGGAGAACAGAACCATTTTAAAATATGGATGTTAGGTATTTATAAATAAAATAGCAATACAAGTTAATTCACAATCAAAGACTCAAGCCATTGGAAACACTTACCATGGCAGTTTGATCACCAAGTTTGTCAAGACAAGAGGCTCTGTGAAGCTATGATATCATAAAACACACAATTAGTTTTTCTCTCAAACAATACCAAATATTTCTTTAGATAAAAATGAAAAGTATCAATTATTCTGCCACTTGAAATAGTCAAGACTACTTCTGATATACCTATGACTTCTTCCTAACATATAGCTTTCAAATTCTACATATTCAAGTAAATTTGTTAGATATTTAGAAAAGAGATTTATGGTTTGATAACATGAAATGATGAAATCTTTTTAAAAAAAAACATTTCTGCCTCAGATTGCTTTGAGTTCTCCTTTTGGTGAGTGCTCAAGTCACTGGCTTACCTGAAGCAATGTCTCCACCACATCTTCTACCTTCCCTGAAACATCCAATTCAAAGACATATTCCATTTTGCCCTAACCGAAAGGAAAAGATGTCAAAACAACAGAAGAGAAGCAGCACATACACTCTGTCGCTTTAGGATCTTGTGAACAGCACCTATGAGATTCTGCATGTTCCTTCTAGTGTTCCCTCGAATGAGCACACTAGAGAACAAACCTATAGGATTCATTGCTATTTTATGTATTCACTGCCTTCCACTAACTTTGGGCTTAGAATGCTCTTCCTGTTCTAATTCCTTGAGGTGAAGAGTCAGGATTTTTATTTTGGGATCTTCTTTTTACACATTTCTTTATCTTGGGCGTGGTGAGACAGGGTCCCCCTATGTAGTTTAGGCTGGCCTCTAATTCACAGCAATCCTTCTGCCTCAGCTTCCTGATTGCTGGGATTACAGCCATTCACTACCACACCCAGCTCACATTTATCTTTTTAAACTTCCAACTTATTACAGCTTTAATCCCATAAATTACTGTAATTTTGTCTTTCATTTGTTGTTTCATTTTCTAATTTCTCTTTTGCTTTGACTTGCTGGCTGTTTGAAAATGTGTTCCTTGCCACATCTGTGAATTTTCCAGTTTTCTGCAACTTTTCTAGTTTCATTTAGAAAAGATGTATGATATCATTTCAGTCTTCTTAAATTTGTTAAGACTTGTTTTGTGACCTAACATGTGATCTGTCCTGAGACTGTCCCACGATGTTGAAAAGAATGTGTATTCTGCTGCTGTTGAGTGGAAAGCTCTGCATATGCCTCTCAGCTCCGCTTGGTCTACACTGTTGTTCCAGTCTTCTGTTTCCTTAATGATATTCTATCTAGATGTTCTGCCCATTGTTGAAAATCTACTATTGTTGTGTCAGTGTTTATTTCTTCCTTCAGTCATGTCAGTGTTCACTTCATATGAGTATATTTAGGTGCTGTGAGGTTGGGTAAATAGATACTATGATTTCTTCTTCTTCAAACTGACATATCAGCCTTCTGCTTTCAGACTCAAACTGGATCTTACACCACTGGGTCTCCTGGGTCTGTACTTCTCAGCCTCTATAATCACGATATAGATTATAGATTATAAATCCTTATAATAATCTCAATCTCTCTCTCTCTCTCTCTCACACACACACACAAACACACACACACACACACACACACTGGTTGTTTCTCTAGGAACCCCAATACTTATGTTTGTAATCATGCAGCATGCACTTCAGTGGGTCTTGGGAAGAGTCTCTAAGACAGTCATCCCCTTAGGGAGTGATTCTCAATTTAGGGGGAAAGAGTTCACTGTTCAAGGGCTTTTGTCAATGTGTAGAGGTGCTGTTGCAATTAAGAGAGGAGCAGTATACAAGAGGTATTTAGCAGGTGAGGGAGGCTGAAAGAAGGGATAGCCCACACAGTGAAGAACTGTCCTGCCCTACGTGCCAACAGCACCTCCTGAGAATAATTAAACCTCAGTATTTATATTTTCTGAGTAGTCAGTATATGCAGTTCTTCCCTGCTTGTAAATCCCAGGACCACTGCATGTGTAGTGTGTCCAAGAAACTGCAGGCTGGCCTGCAATGAAAACTACGATTCAGCCTGTGGGGCTGTGTCCACATAGAGAGGACGGCTTTTCCTAATTCACAGATGTCACTGTAAAGAGCATTAGCCCTGTCCCGAAATTCTATAAAAACTCTCACTAGGAGTGTTCTCTTTAACATAAACAGTACGTGGAAACATAAACAATTAAAGCACAGAAAAGTTAAATAAAGTATTATGCTTACTTGTAAAGTCCTGGGAAAGCAGATATTATATTTAAGTCCACTCATAGCTTCAACCCAAGTAAGTATTTATAAATTATCGAGTTATCATATAAGGACATTTATAATCTATAAATATTTTTCAGATAATTTTAATGTTTTCAGTAATATACTGACAAATTCTCAGGACTACCCAGTAACAATGAATATGCTGATTTCAACTTCTAATCGTTAACAATTTTCCCCCTATTAGGCACATTTATTTTTTAAAATAAAAAGCTAATTGAATTCCCTTGGATTAAAGTCTGTGGCTCCCTTGGGTAATTTTGTTATAACTGGTAATAAGGTTTTAAGTATCCAATATTATTATATTTGCTTAAAGATGATAATAGAGTTACAAAATCTTATTGCTCAAAATCACTATATAAATTGCTGGAAATGCATGAAAAACTTTACTTACCCTTTCTATTTTATATGGTGCAACAATATTATGTTCTTTAATGAAATACACCTGAGGAAAAAAAATACTTGTAAAACATAACCAAAATTTTTCCCTCTAAAGAGTAATGATAAATTAGGACATTATGAATTGAATGTTTTAAATCATTATTATATAACCTCTATTTGGAAAAGTACTTGCATTAATATTCATATGGTTTTTAAATTCTGATATTAAAATAAATATTAAATTAAAAAGAGAATCATCCAGGCAACAAGTACTGGACAAATGAATATCTAAAATGTTTTGTGAATGTTACTATTTGTACCAAGTAACCAAGTAGACAGGGGAAGGAAGCTCACCTAAATGCTGATTTTCTACAAGATGAATAAAACAAAGTCATTGTGGCATGAAATATATTAACATAAATACATCTCTTCCTGAGAGATGGCCTAGGCATGTTTTCATCAAAACACCAGGCTTCACAAAAAAAAAAAAAAAAAAAGCAGGCTTCATACCATATATTAAAATTCTGTCAAAATAGCAACACCATCTACCAGAGCACCAAACTTCCTGCACCTGGACCCTCACCCCGATCTTCCATCTTGTTTTAAAGAAGGGATTGCTGGGCTCTCAAAGGCCAGCTGCTCCACTATGTCACAAAAGGTGGGACCCTCCCCACATGTGAGTCACTCAATAACTGACCATAGGAATGATTATGCACTGCATCCTCTCCCATTTTATAGAAACCAGGTAATCACCCCTGTTGGTCTCACATCCTCCTTTGGCCATTTCCCTATTTCTTCCTGTGGCAAAACTCTCTGCAAGAGCTGCCTGACTGTATCTTCCCTTGGGCCTGAACTATTTTCACCTCACCACACTTCTGCAACTACTCTGATGGGCCACATAAGGGGCACAAGATCTCCACATCACCCAATCCCACAGATGATTCTCAACTTTTCCTTGGCTTTCCTCAGAGCATGTGACACAGGTGATGATGGCTCTTCCTGAAGTATTTTCCACTCAGCTTTCATTACACCTGCTCCTGCTTGTCCCTCTCTTCATAACTTCTTTTTTTGTTTTTTTTGTGGAATCAGGGCCCAAACTCAGGACCTTGCACTTGCCAGGCAGGCACTGGCGCCACTGAGCTAAACCTCCAGCCCTCTCTCTTCCAAACTTCTAATGCTAGTGAGGTGCATACAAACCCTTAACCTCTAACCTCTCTGTCCACTCTCAGGCCCTTGCAAATTTTGTTCAGTACCCGGGCTTTAAAAACTCTGGAAACTTCCAATGGCCCCATTTACCTTTCTAGCTTCAGCCTGCCCTCTGAAACCTGAACAGAAAAATGCATCCCAACACACACTGGGCTTCTTTGGTCTGGAAGGCAGCTTACATTCTAAACAAGCCTCCTCCACCTCCCCAGCTTTCTCTATGGCAGTAGGCACCACTATCAACCTAAGTGGAGTTTTTCCAGTGCAGTGTTTCTTTTTATGCCACGCAACTAAGCGATTAGCACATCTGTTACGGGTTTCTTCAGGATATACTCAGACAATGACTACCTCTCACCTTCCTGGTCCAAACATCTGTGATTCTGAACACCCAGGGGTCTCTTTGCTTCCACTCTTTCCCCTGGCCAGCTTGCCCTCCTCCCATCCTCCAGCAGATTGACAAATACATACAAATACATTATGTTCCTTCTCTTTCAAATCTCCAGTAGCTTTTCACTTTTACCCTTTATTCTCTCCATCCCCTGCTCTACCTTGGCTACCTTGAGCTAGAAGCACTCACCATCTGTACTTGCCCCCTCGAGGCCTCTCCCCATCTCTCCAAACCTGGAACTGGTTGCCCATGATAACTGCATGGCTCACTCCTACTGCTTCTGAGTCTTGTCAAGCATTACCTTCTCAGGGAGGCATCTCAGGCCACTCCATCTGAAGCAGTATGTTAATATTCCTTACCATTTCCTATCATTTTGGCCTGCTCTCATTTTCTTCATAGCAGTTAGCCCTATCTGACATTGGAGGAGACATTTGTTTATTGACTGCCTTGCCAACTGAAAAGCAAAGTTTATGAAGCACACTTCAGGTATCTTATTGTTCCCTACATTTCTGGGGTCTTGAATATATTTGACTACATGAGTTAAAACTAATATTTACATGTACCTACATTGTTCTAGCAGCAACAACAAAAAGTGAAAGCAAAACTTCTAAATTTATAGCATTACAACTCATGCTGAGAACTTGTATCCTAGTATTTAATCAAAAACACAGAGGGAGCCTTCCAGGCTGCAGTACCACTGCTCCCAGCACCAAGGGGGAGCCTTCCAGGCCTGCTATACCACTCTCCCCAGTGCCAAGAAGGTGAGTCACGCTGGCACCAGCAGAACACCCCCCCCCACGAAAGACACGTAAATAAGCCTCAAAACCAGACTTACAGATCACTTAAGGCAACCCCAAAAGGCAATAAGATGGAATAATCTGATACTCAAACACCTGGACTCCCTGAACTGGCAACAAAAGAGGATCTGGCAAAATGGAAATCAGAAATAATTTCAGCAGAGATTGTGCCCATAATGCAAGACATGATTAATAAATCTAGAGAGGACACAGATAAAAAAAATAGAGGAGCTGAGGAACATGATGGAATCCCAACACAGGAAACAAATGGGATCCATAAAACAGATGCAAACAGAGTTCCAGGAGATTAAAAGCTCCATTGAAAGTTTACAAAGCAGAATGAGCCAATGTGAGGACAGAATTTCAGATATAGAAGGTAAGATTGCAATTAGTGACCAGGAAAAGAAAGATGGCTTTAAAATAGTAAGGGACCATGAGAAATCAATCCAGCAGTTACTAGACGATGCAAAGAAGAATAACATAAGACTGATTGGAGTCAATGAAGAAACAGGAGAGAGTGCAGACAACATAAAAAAAACTAGGGCCAGGGATTTAGCTCAGTGGTTTCGCTGCCTGCTGCCCAAGCACAAGGACCCGAGTTTGATCCCTGGTACCAAAAAAAAAAAATATGTTCACAGAAGTAATGACAGGAAACTTCCCAAGGAGGGGAAAAGAACTTGACATACAGATAAGTGGCAATACTTCATGGACCTTGAGAAAAGAATCCAAAAATTCATTTGGAACAAGAAGAGACCTACAATAGCAAAAGCAATACTAGGCAATAAAGACAAGGTAGCGGGTATCACAATCCCCAACTTGAAACAATACTACAAAGCCAGTGTGATAAAAACAGCATGGTACTGGCAAAGCAACAGACCTGAGGACCAGTGGAACAGATTAGAAGATGCAGAAACAACGCCAGACACATTCAGCCAACTCATCTTCGACAAAGGAGCCAAACACCCTCACTGGAGGAAAGACAGCCTGTTTAATAAATGGTGCTGGAAAAGTTGGCTTTCAACTTGCCAAAGATTAAAACTAAACCTGTATCTCTCACCATGCACTAAACTAAAATCGAAATGGATTAAAGATCTAAATATGAAAACAGAAATTGTGACCAGCTGGAACAGAGGTTAGGTAGAACTCTTGACGACACTGGTGTAGGAAAAGATTTTATGAACAAAACCTCAGTTGCCCATGAACTAGCACAAACGATCAACAAGTGGGATCTCTTCTTACTAAAAAGCTTCTGCACAGCAAGAGAAACCACCAGCAGTGTGAAGAGACAATCCACAATGTGGGAGAAAATTTTCACCTGCTGTCCCTCAGACAAAGGTCTACTATCTCAAATTTATAAAGAACTTTAAAAAAATCTGACCTCCCAAATTTAAAGATCCAATCCAAAAATGGGCATCTGAAATGAACAGACACTTCTCAGACAAAGAAGTAGAAATAGCAAAGAAACATATGAAAAAATGTCCAACATCACTGGTCATTCAAGAGATGCAAATGAAATCAACGTTGAGATTCCACCTCACCCCAGAAAGAATGGCTGCTATCAAAAAATCAACCAATAACAGATGCTGGTGGGGCTGTGGGGAAAGAGGAAAACTGCTCCACTGCTGGTGGGAGTGTAGACTGGTGCAAGCACTGTGGAAATCAGTATGGAGATACCTCAAAGAACTAGGACTGGAAGTCTCATTTGACCCAGCTATTCTCCTGCTGGGTATCTTCCCAAAAGAATGAAAAGAATCATACCACAGTGATATAGGTGCACCCATGTTCATAGCAGCACAGTGTGTAATAGCTAAAACTTGGAAGCAGCCCAAATGCCCATCAACTGGAGATTGGATAAAGAAAATGTGTTTTTTTAATAAAATGGAGTACTACTCAGCCATCAAAAATGAGAAATTAGAGACATTTATAGCTAAATGGATGCACATTGAGGCCATACTCTTAAGTGAAATAAATAGGACAGGGATGTGTAAATACCGAATAGTTTCTCTAGTGTGAGAAACTCAAAGTGTAAATAAGAACTAAAAGGTATAATAGATAATATGAAATAGGAAGAAAAGGGGCAAAGGGGAACAGGAAATGGGAGGGAGAGGGGAAAGGAAAGAAGGGAATGGAATTACTATGAGAAAATGAAAAACTGGAAAGAAAGTCTTTGTAAATAGGGAGGGATGGAGGGGTTGAAGGGAGGGCGTGGGAATGGGGAAAAAGTAAGAACCAAGAGGGGTAATGTAAAGATGCAAATTTCCAATGATGAATGTCATTACATTGTATACCTAAAATTTACCAATAAAATTAATTTTAAAAAAACACACAGAAATTGCCTGGTTGTGTACCTCGCATGAAAACTTAAAACTGCACTTGAAAGAGCTGCCTGTGCCTAGGTGCCCATTGGTGTTAGGCTGATTTTGTGTTGGTTTGATTTGAGAGCTCTTCTACAAACTATAAAAAGTAGGCAGGAAGACTTGGAGGCTTTATTTGTAAGCCTGAAATTAATAAAATAACTAAAATGGATAGTTTTTATAATGGAAACTCTTCTTCTAATTCAAAAAGTACTTCTTCCTTCCAAGATATGGGCATTCTAGCGTAAGATCATGACGTAAGTAGTAAGATCTATAGACATGAGTGCACAAGGGTGGACCAGTCAGTCTGACGTCATTTACATGACCTGGTGCTAGCCTCCCATCTTCTAAACAGCTAGGAGGCTACTGGAGGAACTGCCATCCCTTCCTCCCAACCCTCCCATACTGCCTAAGATCCTGAGGACAAAAACCACAAGCATGCAGATACTGATGATTTAATAAACTATAAGGATTCCACTGGAGATTACATCCTTTTTAAACACTATTTCCCAATGATTACTCTCTAAAATCATTTAAACATCTATTCCAAAGATCTTCATTTGAGACCTTTACAAATAAATAATTTCATCATGTGAACAAAAATTAGACACACACACACGCACACACACTCACATTCATACAAGTTAGGAAAAAAAATTTTTTATTGGGTGCTTCTTACCTGACTAAAAATGAGTGAAATCCCTGCACATTTTGCCCTAAAATGCAGACAAAAGTAATCAATTACAGAAAACCTTTTGGGTGAAGTAAAATTAAATAGTAAAAATGACATACTTTGCAGGGTGTCTATTGGCCATGTTTTCTCCATGCTTTCCTATTTTTATACAATCTCTCAAAGGAATCTGGTAAAAACAAGAGAGAATATTATAAAAATAAACAAAGGTAAAATTATACAAAAATAGGAATGTTTATGTTCACACTTATAATGTGTTTACCTTAATAATGGGCTGGGATATTGCATCTGGTTCAAAAATCACTGATTTTGAACATATTTTTAAGGAGCCTCTGATTTTCCTAGGAATCAAAGCAGAATATAACAGTCAAAAAAGAATCATGATATCCTTTAAATAGAAAGTTGGCTACTAAGGCTAATAAAAATTCAACAACACAATTAGAAAGAAAGGTATGACAGGAAGGAAAAAAAAATTTCCACTTTATCTACCTAAAGGATAGAGAAATCTGCATATTGTTTTGATCTGTTGGGCCTTGTACCATACATTCTACATTTATTACCTTATTTGGTCCTCACAATTCTTCTTTTTTTTTTTTTGGTACCAGGGATCAAACTCGGGACCTTGCGCTTGCAAGGCAGGCGCCGGAACCCCTGGGCTAAATCCCCCGGCCCCTCACAATTATTCTTAAGGGAAACTGAGGACAAAAAAGATAATGAATACTGCATTTATCACGTCTCTGGTAAATTATGTTGGTTTTTAATTCTCTATATGCGGAAGAACTATTCGTAAAGCAACATGAAACTTCTAAAATTGATTAGGTAAAGGGATTTTTTTCTTAAAATCACAGAAAAGTTTTAAAGTTTGAATGTAGCACATAAAATACTTTTAGCAGTGATTTGGGGATATGGAGAAATTCCGGAAAAATCTATTTATAGGGACTATCTGGCTCCTCCTATAATATCAAATCAATCAGTTATAGACTATCATTTTCATGCTTTCTTGGGACATTTATATGTCTTCAACAACTTGTGGAAAGAAACATTCTTGAGTGTTCTACAGGCAGTTGTTAGTTTTAGCCAGTATGTGTCACCTGCCTGGAGCTAATAAAAATCTACACACTTTATCTTCTTTTATTGATTAGATTATCCTTTTTTTTGGTTAGATTACTTTTATCAATGATCAAACTAAGACAACAGCTTATTATGCATAAGCTAGAACATAAGCTGGGAGACACTGGAATATTATTTTAAAAAGTCACCCTACGATCAGTTTCCATGAGTACGTTTAGTCTAAAAGCAGCATTTTCAAGATCTCAGGTTTTTAAGACTCACTTCAGGGACGTTTGGAATTTTCCTCTAGCCGTTCTTTGGCGTCCTGATGAACCCTCCTACTCTGCTCATTCCAGGGATCTCCCTTGCCTCAACTGAAGCAACTGCAATCAACCCACCATCTCTAAGGTTCTGAATCCATACATTCAACCAATCTCAGACCAAAAATATTTATGAAATAATTCCAGAGAGTTCCAAAAAGCAAGATTTGAATTTACCATCCACCAAGAACTACACGGATTCCATGAAGTTATGTGTAGTCATTGTATTAGGCCTCTCATGAGTAATCTACAGATGATTTAAAGTATACAATATATGTGTAAGTGGTAAGCAAACATTATGCCATTTTGTATAAGTGTCTGAGGTTTTGGGTACCTGAAAGGCAGGGGTGGAGGGGGCCAAGAATCAATCTCCAGGAGATACCAGGGAAATATATAAATCTCTCTATAAAGTCTATTGCTTGAAAACTTAAAGCATCCAAAAAACCACTACATTAAGAAGCCCAGCCTTACACAGTCTGAGAAGGTCGCTTCCTGGACCCACTCTCCTGGGTAACACTTCCTTTTTCTTTATGGGCAGAAAATAGTCACTTAAACTTTCTATCTTCAGGCTAAATATATATGGACTAAATGATGACAAGGCTCATCATGCTGAAAGTCCTGATTCAGTTTATAATTCTTCCTCAAAGGTTTAAAAATTTTTGTATCATTTATTCATGTTAAGTGTATTTACTTTTTTTGGGGGGGGGTACCAGGGATCGAACTCAGGACCTTGTGTTTGCAAGGAAGGCACAGTGCCACTGAGCTAAATCCCCAGCCAAGTGTACTTACTTTTTTAACACCCACACTTACCCAACAGCAACTTAAAAACATACAAACTTAGGTTGGAGCTATTACTCAGTGTAAGGCACTTGCTTACCATGTGTGAGACCCTGGATTCAATCCCAAGTACTGCCTCCTGCCCCCGAAAAAAAGACACTTTCTATCCACGAAATTTCTAAACACATACAGACAGATTCGAAATGTCCACTGTACCAATTATCTAGCTTCAGCAACTGTCATTTTTGTTTCATGGATAAGCCTGGAACTCTGCTGGGTTGCGATGGTTTAGACAAATGCCCCCCCCAAAGGCTCATTTTTAAAAGCTCGGTCCCTAGAGCAACATCCTTGGAAGGTGGCAGAAGGTCTAGGACATAGGGCAGAGTGAGAGGCCTTCAAGTCACTGGGAATGTGCCTGTTATGCTGACTAGATGTCCCTCCAAAGCCTCATGCAGCCAGAGGTAGATGGATCTAGAGTGTGCGATGTTGGGATTATTCATGTGCAGTGCTAGGATCAAGAGTGTAAGTGCTACCTGCCCTAAGGGCGGTAGCCTGGATACAATATAAGGGACAGAAGAGGGTCTCTGGTCTCTTGTCACTTGCTTGCTTTGCTACCTTGTGCCCACCATTAACTGTTTCTCTTCTTTTTTAAACTTTTTTCGATACCAGGAATCAAACTCAGGACCTTACGCTTGCAAGGTAGGCACTGCACCACCGAGCTAAATCCCCAGCAACTATTTCTCTTCTATGCCTGTCTGCCGTACCACCGTACCTTGGAGCCAGCCATTACGGACTGAAATCCTTTGGATGGCAAGTATTTTGTCTCAGCAATGAGGAAAGTGGCTACGACAGGGCCCTTGAAGGGCACGGTGAGACTCCGGGTCCTCTTTCTCACTGTTACTTCCCAGTCAAGAGGTGAGCAGTTTTGTTCCTGCCATGATGTGTCACCACGGGGTTAAAAGCCACTCTAAAACTTGAGCCAAAATACACCTTTATCACTTTCTACGTTATCTCAGGTATTTGTTACATTACAGTAAGCTGACTAACACATGGACTGTAGACAGTTATTGACCACATGCTATTGCCCATAAAGACTTTAAAATGAGTTGATCACAGAGCGCTGTCTTAATAAATGGCCTATCATTATCATACCTAAAAGTCAGGGCTAAAGGTATTCTTCAGGGGTAAAGCACATGTTTGGCATGCACAAAAAGCTCTGGTTCCATCCCCAGGACCAAAATGCTACTACTACTACTACTACTAATTTAATGTCATCAAGTATACAGTGTTCCATTTTTTCTACTTGATAAATGTTTTTTCATAGTTTGCTCCAATCAAAATCCAGTCCATATTACAATTAGTTGGTAGGTCCCTCACCTACCCTACTATAAAATAACCTTCCCATAATATGAATTTTGCTGAATCATCTCTGTAGTATTTCTCTAGCCACATACTTCCTTTAAAATTATCAGCAAGATTAAAAGACTCAAATCAGATTCTGGTTTGACTTCTGGTAAAAATACTTCTAAGGAGAGGCACATGTCTTGTCTCCCCATCAGCAGGCACCAGAGGATTCTAGTGATGTTAATCTTGATACATGCATTATGAAATTTTTCAGCAGCTTCTTACCTAATGGTTTCAGCAGCCACTGAAAACGACTGTCCAATTTAGAGATTGGAAAATTCTTTCTGTGAAGACCCTACTAGTGTTCCGCTGTCTACCTTGCAAGCTCAAGGTCCCAAGTTCGATCCCCGGTACCAAAAAAATAAAAAATAAATTTTAAAAAAGACCCTACTAGTATCTTTGGTTTTTTAGGCCATGTGGTGTCTATGACAACTATTCATCTCTGCTGTTTTAAGGGGAAACCAATCACATGCAGTATGCAAACAAATGGGTGTGGCTATATTACTAATAACCCTTTTTTAGTTTATCAGTACACATGTGTAGTAAACATTGTTTATATTCCTTGGGGGAAGTTGGCGCCTGTACATGACATATCTTAATTCTATTTTTTATTCCCTTTCCCTCCCTCTGTTCCTCATCCACTCATCTCTTGATCTCTCTTTTCCTTTTGGATATGTTTGTAGTATATATTTACATTCCTTGTATGGAGCTGGTTACACATATAATACATCTTTACTACTTTTTCCATTCTCTTTCCTTCCCTCTTCTTCCCCTCCTTCCATTTCTTGATCCTCTTTGCATGTGAGAAAGATCTAGCTCCCCATTCTGTTATCTTTTATTTTGCTTTTTATTTATAATGAGTTTCTCATATAAGAGGAGTCATGTCATATTTAAGCTTATGTGTCTGATTTATTTCACTTAACATTATAATCTCAAGGTGTATCCATTTGATTATGTTCTTTTAAAAAATTATTTCTTCCTGTACTTGAACAAATGTATTTTGATAACATATATAGTTTTTAGTGTGTGTTTTACACTTTCACTCCTTCGGAATTTACATGTGACAAATTAATCTAATTTACTTTAAGCACTTCACTACCGATAAAACTTTACTGACAAAAACAATTGGCTGGTCAGATTTGGCAAAGGGCAGTAATGTGCTGACCCCTCGTGTAGATCTGTTATTTTACTAGGGATTAAAATTTTATCATTCCTTCTATATTGATTAGCTACAATTTGTCAATAAAGAAGAACTTGGGCTGGGGATTTAGCTCAGTGGTTTCGCTGCCTGCTGCACACAAAAAAAACATAATAAAGAAGAACTTGGGAAAGTTGGCCCAGCCTTGGCTGGGTTCAGCTGCTGGGCAGTGGTGGCAGAATAGCTCAGACCTCGGTTGAGGCCACACCTGAGCCCCAGGTGAGACCTGAGGGCTTCCCCGCCCACGTGCTACTTGTGTTTTCAGAAGGGGCCTTTCTTCCCACAGCTCCTGGGCAGGCTTCACGGCGACCCGGCAGTGACCATTCCTGCATCCCACTCCTGAGGTCCTGAGCCCACCTCAAGCGGCTGGGTAAAATCAAGGACTCTCACTTACACTGGAGTGACAGAAAAAGAAATAATTTTTAAGCGTGTCCAAAAAAAAATTAAATAAAGAAGAACTTTATCAGCAATTTTGTGATGCTGAAGTACAAATTTTACAAGGAAAACAAAAAACTTCAATAACCACTTTTGTACATAACTTCAAAAGGTAAGATTCAAAGGAACAATCTGTTTTTATTAAGCAACTAGTAACTATGAAACAGGGAGATATCAGATTTTACTTCTAAATCTGATTTATTTATTTTGATTCTGAAAGTGTTGATTGCATACCAGTCATGTGACTTATGATTATTACTTCATAACACCACACCCTAATGGCTGAGAAGACAGTACACTGCATGACTACAAGAAGGGTAAAGAACAAAAGGGCGCGATAGATCAGAGGTCGTCCAGCGATCTTAGTCTTAGCACAAACACTCTTTGGTTTTAAAAAATATTTGAAATTATGACAGCAACTTATAAACCCATTCTTCTTCTTACTTTCCTAATGAAAAAAGAAGAGAGAAAAGCTCTAGATAAGCCTGTATTTCACTGTAAAACTGTCAGGTTTATTAGTGGGTAAAATTCTAAAAGCTCTCTTACCTTTCATCGTTGCTGCCCCTGTGCTGAATATGATGAGCTGCATGCTGTTCAAAATAGTATTCCTCTAAGTTGAGCAGCAGCAAGGAAAACCTAGATTTGGGGGAGAAAAAAATAAAACAACTTCTTTCACATTAAGCTTTTAGAAAATAGAAGCAAGCCAAATATTCAAAATGTTTGATTCCAAAGTGCTTTCTTTCCCATTCATTAATGTAAGCAGCACTTGTGAGGCACCTGGTAAGGCACATTCGAGGCATTCCTCCCCAATGTTCGGAGCGGGCGGGGAGTATACCAACTGCCTGCCCTGCAGGTCAAATAATCACTATGCCAAAACTTAAACCACTCACCAAGTGGCTGAACAATTCCTTTAGAGAAACCTCAATTTCATAAAATTTAACTTGTTTTGCCTAAAAAAGCTTGATGCTCTCCCAACTATGGAATTTTCTTCAATTGTTTCCCCTGACTTAACATGCCAGACTTTCCCATCCCTTCCCAATCAACATCCTGTCTCAAGGTGATTTGAATTCATCTTGTTAATTCCTAAAAGACCACATGCCTCTAGGAGATAGGTCCTTAGTCCCTGGTCAAAACCAAACCAATGCTTTGTACACTATGGTGTTCAACAAGTAAAATAAGTAAACTGAATGGAATGGGGCTGGATTAAAATTCCTTAGGTTTTAAGTGCTTTATACTTTTAAAAGTAAGGCAGTAAGGCAAATAGTTGTATGGCCACAGAAACAAATATATGGCAAAGAAGTGAAAATAAGTGTTTCATTTGTTTCAGGATAAGGACCAGGAAACATGGCATCTAGAGTTATGGGGGGAAAACTCTCATCAAAAGTGTAGGACTTGAGGGGCCAGGTGGTTAGCTCAGTGGTTCTGCCGCCTGCCTTGCAAGCACAAGGTTCCAAGTCGATCCCCGTACCAAAAAAAAACAAAAAAAAATAGGACTTTAAATGGATCTTGAAGTTCTGGTTTGTCAGAGGAAGCCAGATTAAATTGGCAGATTACACATATACACTTTTTTTTGAGATAACATCTTGCAACGTAGTTAAGGATGGCCTTGAACTCCTGGCAATCTTCCTGTCTCAGCCTTAGTGCTGGGATTACAGGCACGAGCCACCCAGCCCAACTAAATACTATATCCTTATTTTGCTTCCTTCTGAAACAACACTGATATGTGAATAAAAGTATTTTTAAAATGTTAAAACTCAAAGACCAAGGCAACTTGGACAGATACCAAAGCATGGAAGAGATGTAGGCAAATGTGCGGAAGAGGGAAAACAGAAGGAATTATGAGATGCCTTAGAGAAGGTAGGTACCAGTTGTAGGAAAACCAACATAGATCACAGGACTTCCAAAAAGTCCAGAAACAGCAGGCATAACGTACCAAGATGGTACTTAGATACAAAGTGATAGCCCAAGATCACCAGTCTCTGACATTAAAGAACAAGACCACAACAAGCAGGAAGAACACAATTGGAGATTATCTCCAGTCCTGGAGATGACGCAGAGAAAAGAAAAGGTCAAAAGGCTATAATTAATACCCTTACAAAGAAGAAATTTATACATGACAGGAGAAGAGATTGCTCATTAGAACAACAAAAAGCCTGACCTAAAGAGTAATGACTCATAAAAAATTAAAATTAATGATAGCAAGAACCATTTTTAACATCCTAATAGGTAGCTTTTATTGACTTGTCCTCAAGTTTTGAATCCATGAACAAGAATTAGTCATAAGTTGGGCTCAATATGCAGTACCAAAAAAAAAAAAGAATTAGTCATAGGTTAAACTGCCAGAGCACAATATGAAATGCTTGATATTTAACCTGAATTGCAATATAATTACAAGACTTAGGACTACTAAGAACTCTGATGTATGAGATCATTTCCAGGAAGGTGAAAATCAGGGAGACTCACTAATTGCCTTGTCCCTTATATTTAGCTTGTATCTGAATAACTGAAAACCCTTTTCTTGGGCTGGAGCTGTGCAGTCCTCCTTTCTTTCTGCAGATCTCCCTACTCTCCTCTTGCTTTCCCTCAACAGAGGGAAAATAAATATTCTTCAATAAGATGTCATAATTTTATGGCTATGAAGCACAAGTCACTATCAGTGACAACTAGCTCTTCCAAATATTAAAGTGTATTCATATCAAAGAGAATTAAAGACATCATTTTGGTAAATTAATTAATTATAACCTCAATAATTTATCAGTATGCATATTTCACAAGAAATGTATAACACATAGAGAAGGGACATAAATCGTACTGTTCAAAGTTAATAAATGAAGGAACTTTTCTGAGTCTTCTTTCTTTTAACTATAAAGTTTAGTTATATCTGCTTTAAAATTTTTTCTATGTAAATATTATTATATTAAATTTTATGGGTTTAACAAACTAATATATGGAGTAAAAGAGTCTATGCTTTAAAAAATTAAAATCAATGTTTTGCAATTTTATGGTTTCATCCATTAGTATTATACCCAGCTGTAAATTCTTTCTTTAGGAAACTCTTGGCCCTGAGCCTGCATATCCCTAGTTTAATCAAATCTTTACGTAAATGTGTAGTTATTCTCTTTAGGATAAATTTACTCACTGAACAAGTCAACTTCACAAAAACGATGTTATCCTCTCTTTATGTCACCTGGATTTCAAAGCACATTTATATGCCTAATTAACAATACTAAAATAGCTCTACTACAGGGATTCCACAGGAATTACTGCATTCACAGCTGTTCAAAAATTACTCAACATTCTGTTGACGAGCAGTATTAACAGTAGATCCAGAACACTTTATTAGTAAATCCTGGCTCTAGGATACAGATGTAAAAAAGGCTTCGCTGTATTAGGAAGAACTTGGAAAGTGCCACAATGCCCTAGTGATAGGCACAGGGCCATGGGACAGGGCAGAGCCCACAAGTGCAGTGCATTTGCCATCTGCACTCTGAATACCTCAACACCATCCTTTGATGTCTCTGGACTGTTAGTGCCCCCATCACAGGGCTGTTTTAACCAAACTGGACCTTTTTTTAAGCTGTGCAGAAATGTGAATGGACAAAGGGGTGACTGACGGAGGGGACCTGGCAAGGCCCAGCCGGTCAGATTCTCTTGGGCGTTTCTGTGTAGCACTCCCTGGGTTTGGGCAGGACTCCTCTGGAATGAAGGGGAAAGAAGGGAAAGCAACCTTCCTAGGTTTTACGGCTTGCTTTAGGGAAGGGGTTCTACCTTCCTTTTTTAAAAAATTAATCAATTTTATTTTATTTTATCCCATTTCCCCCTCAATCCTCCTCCCCCCATGTACAAAAGCTGTTTTCATTTTTCCTTCTAGTTTTACTTTTTTTTTCTTGTTCCTTCCTTCCTTTCTCCCTCTCCCTCGCTTGTACCCCTTCCCATTTGAGCACTTTCTTCCCATTTCCCAACATCCATTATAGAAGGGTTCTATTTTCTATTCCTACCTTGAGGAAGAATTCTGGTTTTTAGGACTCATTTTGGGGGACAAAGAAGCCAAAGGCAGAAGGGCAGTAAAAGGTCAGAGGCTTTGCTTCTTTTTTTTTTTTTTTTGGAACCAGGGATCGAACTCAGGTCCTTGCGCTTGCACAGCAGGCGGCGAAACCACTGAGCTAAATCCCCGGCCCATAGAGGCTTTGCTTCTGATGCTTTCCAATCTCTTTAAAGTACTCCACACAGCAAAGTGCCATACTTCAGGGTATCATTTTCTGAGCCCCAACACAGTCATTCAAACAATGTCATTCCAGGACCGGGGATTTAGCTCAGTGGTTCCAGCGCCTGCCTCACAAGTGCAAGGTCCTGAGTTCGATCTCCGCTACCAAAAAAAGAATCAAACAATGTCATTCCAACCAACTACAACAATATTAACTTCCCTTAATTCTTGTACCAAGACATCACAAAAAGAAACCTTATCCTCTGCCGAAGTTCAGATGATCTCAATCTACTGCATTTTCCTGGCCTACCAGTCAGAACTCTTAGCAACAGAGATTAGAGTAACATGACATGACTTCATAGTAGGTTTCTGCAGGTCACTAATGATAACTTCCTCCTGTGTGACTCATAATCTCATCTAGAGTTAGCACTACATACATCTATGCACATGTGTTCATTCAACAGCTTTCAAACTTCTTAGATCACTGAAACAGTGTTGTGGTTCTACACATGAACTCTCTCAGGGTTTTATGCCAGGAAACAAAAGCACATTGGTATCCTCTGCATCTTCACACATCTCATCAAAGCTCACCCTGTCACTTTGAGTCTGACGGTCAACGTCATGAGCTGAGCACAAAATGAGAGCCGCTTTCTTGGTTATAAGTCTGTGTTATACAACCAAGCTAGGCCCTAGGCAGCGGCTAAGTACTTCCTCATTTCAAACACAACTTTAGAAGATTGTTTTTTGTTAATGTACAGCATTTTTTAAAACTACCACTCTCATGAGGCTTTAATCCTTTAGGTTAGTTGTACATAATATTTTTGCTTCAAATTTTGAAAATTATAAGCTGAGGGATTTATTTGCTTGCCTTATCTATAATTCTTCAGAAAACTAACTTGGATTGAGTGTTCTGGACTGTATTTTTGACAGTTTCACAAACTTCTTGGGTCAGTATGTTTTTCAGAACTGTTCCGTAATAATACGTATCTTTTTTTTCCTTGAAACTTTCAACATCTTCTTTCTTAAAAATCTAGGTCCTGGATATGGCAATATTCTTAGTCTTCCCAAGCATCAACAATAAGTAACCTGACATGACTGCTTGAGTTTCTTCACTGCTACTTGGTTAATTAATTTCTCTTTGATGTTCAGAATTAAACCAGGCATGGTGGTGCATGCCTGCAATCCCAGCACTTGGAAGGCTGAGCCAGGAGGATCACCATGAGTTCAAGGATAGTCTGGGCTATATATAGTGACTTTAAGGTCAGGCTGGACTACACAGTGAGACCCTTTCTCAACAACAACAACAACAACAACAACAACAACAACAACAACAAAACCCAGAATTAAGAAAAACTCCCAAGCTCTGTGAACTAGAATAAATTGAAACTTCAACAAGGGAAGCAAAGGCCTGTAATTCGATCTCACTCTGCAT